AGCAACAACGAGAGCGGTCCTCCGACGCCTCTGGCGGGACCGACGGGTCACCGAAGGATGATTTCCAGCGGCCTTCGTACGGGCAAACCGGTCGCGGAAGTCGCTAACAGTGTACCCAAAGACTGGGCCTGGAGCACTTTCTGAGCGAATTTGCCTCTCGCCCATTGGGGACTTTGGGTGGGCGGAGTAGTCCACCCATTTCCAGCACGTGAGTCGGGGTCCACCGGCCACCTCCGGCAGCGTTTCCTTTGCAGGGAACACAACCCGCGAGGCTGGAACCCTAGAAACCTTTGCCACATCCTAGGCCCTGGCGGACGCGCCGTTGCCGTTGACTCATCTCCGAGAGTCTGTGCTAATTACGGCATACCCGATCGGTTATCTACGGCTGTGACTTCACCTGTCCTTGATCTCACGCTGCCTGCCAGGCTGAAGCAATGTCGCTCTAGAAGGCTGTGATGCACTCACAGTCACAACTATGAGCCTCGGTACACGTCAGCTTCGGGGTGGCTGTCATATGACCGGGAGTGGTTCTTGTGTTGAGTGCCAGGCGAAGTGAGCGAAATGGACCTATGTGCTCCAAAGGCACGCCAACAAAGATTCTAGCCTAGAGTCTTGTGGTGTAGGGCGGCAGTGCGGCGTCGTCTGGTTACACTACGCTAGAACCAAGGGAGTTCGGTACAAGACACGGGGTACACCCCGGAGCAGATGGAGACACGTCTGACATGCTGTGGACTACCCCGTAGTCATGCGTGACAGAGTACCGAGGACAGGTTAACACGGCAAGGATACATTTACAAAAGGCGGAGTTGGTCTGTTTTCCATTTGGGGGAATTCCACCCACTCTGGCGGGTCGAGATTTTAGCGAGCCCAGTTCGTTTGACGATTACGATACCCCAATTAGCACTGAATGCTTTTTCTAGAGGTGTCTGTTCTTTCTAGACAACTACCTACCAGGCAGGGGGGATATTTTTGATATCATATGGTTCTTTCTTGCTTGACCATCTAATTAGAAAGCATCGGGAGGGCAATTTTTTGGGTGGTGATTTACTTCTTTTTATAGAATGAATGCGGCGCAAGTAGTCGTTTCCCGCAAACTCGAGTGTACCCAGTACGGATTGCTTCATTAGTTGTACCACGTATGAGGTAGTGAGATACTAACACCGACGTGGTTCTGCATTCATCTTAAAATATATTAATGGTAGGTGGGTAGGTTGAGAGAACGAGCCTCTTTCGGTAGTGAGTGAGCGAGGGAGTAACCATTGTCACTTGCTCTGTCGTCTTTCTCTCCGTTTCGTGGTCTCTCTCTCGTTCTCTTGCTCGCTCTGAGTGAGGACTGGCGCCACCTTCAATCTCCAAGTCATCAGGCATCGGTTGATAATACCGTAGGGGTCCCGTAGATAGTGTTCCTGCTCGGGAGACTCAAAATCATATCCGATCCAGCCGATTGAAATCCTCCCTCTCAGGGAGACTTTCATCGAGGTTAATACCGAGTTGTTGACTTTTACATGGAGGCTGATTTCTCCCGCCGGGGGGGCGAAGCGTGCATGGCGTCTGATTCCAATGGTTTCTGTCGTTGGATCCCGGCCATAGGAGATTTCAAGAGGGCTTTGGTTTTGTGTTGTGGGTTTGGCCAAAGGGTTCGTGATGCCACGGCGGAGGAGGAGTAGAGAAGCTCATATTGACAACAAGAACAAGTCTTTGTGGTTGAAACTGTATTAATCTTTGTCTGTTGTGCTTGGTTAGGGTGTAAGGTAAGTCGGTTGTGATCGAGGCACAGAATGTCAGGCTCCACACGTGTCCAACTCATCCGTCTCTTGTTCATTGGATGGAGCCTTCATCCACGTCTTGATATCCAAATATTAAGAGATTACCATGCGATTCGGGGCTCCCTTCCTCCAGCGTCAGGACGGCAGATCAATTTCTGCGATGTCCGGAAGGGTTGGAAATGCATCCTCCCCCGAAACTTCAACATCAATAGACAACTCCGCCACGTACATAGTTGACGATTGGCTATGTAGTGAGATTCAGCCTTTGAAGCATTCTGATTGAATGAAACCTTATCCTTGTGGTGGTAAGAAGACAAGGAAGCCTTCGTAGGTAGAAACAACCACGCGTCATTCATCCCATCAGCTGGCCCAAGTCGTCCGGCGGCCACCTCGTCTGGGCGAAACTGATGCACCGCTTGATGCTCTGGAGAAACTTACGGGTGACCTCGTCGCTCATGATGTGGGCCTGCTTCCCGCTCGAGCTCTCGTGCAACTTCTCGCGCGCGGACCGTTCGTGGATACCCACCATGGTGACCCCGATGGGCCAGGCCGCCTTGCCGATCGACAGGGTGAGATACTCGTCGTTGGCCTCGACGTAGCGCCGCTTCTGGGCCGAGCGCACGATCTTGCAGATGGGCTCGAGCAGGTCCCGGTCGAGGGTCTGTTTCTCAAAGTGCCGGAACAGCGGCGTCAGGTCCCTCAGCACGACGACGTAGTTGTTGTACGCGGCCTTGCCGCTCGAGGACTGCTTGACCGACTCGTCCCGCTCCGACAGCGCTCGCGCCCATTCGGTGAGGAGGAGGGTAAAGTACGACGCGAGCTGGCGGTGGAGGAAGGTATATTCCGGTGTCCCCGGCTGGAGAGGGAGGGATGTGGTCGGGAGGAGCATGTCCTTCTCCTCGACAGGTTCCAGCGTGGTCGGGATGGGTCCGTTGCTCAACTTTGGCGAAGACGCCGTCGCCAGCGCCGTTCGCGTGAGTGCGTAAAAGCGCTTCAACCGCGCAGAGTGGTCCTCGTCGAAGAGAGCGGCCGGCTCGTTGAGTTCGCGGAGTTTCTGCCGCAGCTCGTCGTCGGGTATGTCCTCTGCGTGTGTTCCACCCGTGCCTGCAGCCGCATTGTCCTCCGCGCCCCCGTCCTCGAGGGCCAGTTGATCCGACACCTCAGCCAGTCCGAGGCGTTTCCTTCGTCTCCTCTCCTCCTCCTTCTCCTCCTCTTCCCTCCTCCGTCGTGACTCTTCCGCCAGTTTCCGCAGCTTTTCCTCCCTGCGGGCATTCCGTTCGGCTTCCTCCTCCTCGAGTTTCCGTTTCTTGGAGAGCCGCTCCTCCCGTTCGGCGGAGAGTCTGGCCTGCTCGGCTAGGTACTCGGCTTGCCGCGAGGCTTCAAGGTCGGCGCGACGTATGTATTTACTTGCTGGTGTCGACGTGGGAGGATCGGGAGCTGGGGAGGGAGATGCGGGAGACTTTGAAAGTGGTGGTTTTGATTTGGCTATTTGAGCCGACATCAGGGACTTGAAGTCCATGTTGATGAACCTTGAGGACGTTTGTGGCACCTGTTTCAAGGGGTTGGAATAGGCAGAGGGATGAATTGACGCACATAACATGGACTATGAGGTGATTGTCATTATTTTAGACAGTCACAGTGAGGCAGTTGCACAAGTTTCCCCACAGTTTGGAGCCACAACAGCTGGAATCTCCACACAAAGTACGAGCTCGCCAAAGCCATCAACGACAACAAAGTCTCCTCAGACCGCATTGAGCAGCGCGTTATAGTCCTGGCAACCTTCAAGTTCCAGCCAGTACTCATCTCTAATGGCTTCCTCATCAGATCGACCCCAGTTCCATAAATAACCAGTCCAAAGACCACCAAGTAACATCGAGCTTGTTTTCCACGGATTGCACGGTTGAGGGTCAGCGGTACAACAGGACAAAGCTAAGATTTGCCAACTCCACCATGTCGAGTCTGCCCTGAGCTGTTCGAATATCGTCACTTCCCAAGTCACCAGGTTGGATGGCGTGTCGTCTGTACCGGGAAAAGGGTGGTAATTGGAAGGGATCTTGGATGATGAAGGACTGCGGTAGCGGGTCGACTGATGGATGGCATTTCTACTGGCAGTTGAGTTACTCCTGTCCGGGGACAACTTAGCAAGCCACCCTCGTCTCCTGGGTCTGTCCTTACCCCGGTCGTACAGCACTGTGACAGGTCTGGCAGATTCGTGCATGGGAAGCAGACTGTGCTCCCTTCTTCGCCGGTACGCTGTCAGAGCCGCTACTACCAGCGGTGGAAGGGCGACTATGACTGCGGCGATGCCAACGACAGTTTCGGCAGAGAGATGCATTGCGCAGGGAGAGACTGTTTTGTTAAACTTGGAGAGTTAAATGGAACGGTCCGAACGTCCTAAGGGAAGGCAGGATTATAACCACTTTGCTGGCTCGCTCTTCCTCTCTGTCCGGGTAGCGTTGCCCACGAGACGCATGCGTGGTGCTCGCTGGCTTCATGTCGAGTACAAGGATATTGGCTGTCTCCGGAAGTCTGGGATTTCGGAGTGCCACCCTAAACAGAGGAGCCGGGGTCGAAAGGTCGTCATTATGCTCTGAAAGTCGCTCGCAAGGCTCTCCATCACTCAGCCTTTGCTGCGTACGAGCAGTGGTTGGCGAGAGGCCAAAAGTTCACCTCCACTTCAACACCCGGAGTTGATAATTAGGACCCCTGCCTCAGCACAGGGCGTAACTGAGATGTGATGATTGGACAGCGCCGATGGAGGTCGAGAGTCTGCTTCTTTCTCTTAAGAACGTGCGACATGACACACCAATAGTCCCTCGCGTACTTTCGCTTCTGGCCATTCAAGTAAGAGCAACATCTACTGCGGCGGCTGTGACTGCGCCCATAGCCAAACCAATCCCTGACCTGGCGTCTTTGGACTCGACCTTGCATCATGCATCATGCAACCAAATAGCCGGCCACCTGCTCCACTGAACTTCCTGTAATAAACCAATCCAACATGTCGGTCAGCTCATCAACGCATCTCCCCCGTTCCGGCGGCCACAAGGCGTGGTATAAGATCTGCTCACTTTCTAAAGATGGTGGTCGTTGCTTTCAGTCGATCTGCAGTCTCGAGTCTTCTGTCAGGCTGACGTCGTGGTTATGTTTCTCGTTGCACCTGGAGCCCTTCTCCCTACCAAGGAAGACTTCTGTATCCAAACGACGAGCCCCAGATACCCACCGCCGTCTTCCACAATGCCTTCAGCCGATTCCTCTGGCGCTCAGCATTCCACCCCCTCCGCCCAAGATTGGCGCAAGCACCAGCCAATCATCTACAACCTTTACATCCATCAACGCCTCCCTTTAAAGGAGATGCGTGAGTACCTCCAACAAGAATACTCATTCGACGTCAGTATATCGCAGTACAAGCGGAAGCTTAAAGAATGGCGATACTCGAAGAATCTCAAAGCTTCGACCTGCAAAGCGCTCGGTGATAGCTTGGAACGGCGAGGTTTGTCTGGCTCAAATGTTGTCACGTCGGTGAATGGTGTGACGCTGAGCCCCAGGAAGTTGCAGAGGGCTCTAAGGAGACATTATATACCAACCTTGCAGCGGAAGTTCGGATTGGAGGAAAAGACAACCACTCCCGAAGGGGTATCTATCCGAAGATCCCTTGTGGACTCTCTCTCGCTCTCGAACATCAGGCTTCCCGCACTTTCGTGGCTTCAGCAAGCACAAGAGTCCGCAGCAGCGTTGCAAGGCGCCACCCCAGTGCCGTCTTCCCACACGCAGTTACCACAATCCCATTTACCGGAGACCAATAAAGTTTCAAACGAACTTCTTATGGTCGATGTTCAATCTATACTTTTAGGCGACGTCAGGCCAGAAGCGATTGCTAGAACGCAGCGGGAAGCGGCCGCCTCAAGAATCCTCAACCATCTTCCCAGAGTGGAGCCTGACTCTGTAGGCCAGAACTTCAATGCTCTAATCCACCAAGCCGGAAGCATCAACTTGTATTCACTTACCAGCTTTGTCATATATCTCTGTGCAAATAATCATCTGGATGACGCTCATTTTGACCACTTCATGGTTCACATATTACCTCAAGGTAACCTGGATGTGCTCAAGCATTTGGCTCACTCGAAATCAGCGTGTGCTTGGAAATTCGAAGAGCGGCTCCTGGTCTATGCGGCACGGACTGATAGGTATGATTTGGTAGATCTCCTAAAGAATCAGTGGGCAGTGGGCAGTATATCAACACCGAGAACCAAATGGCTCCTGGAGAGGATGCTATTTACCGCCATGGAAAAAGGTCATGAAACATTCGTCTTGACCCTTTTGGAAGAAAAGATTGGAAACAACAAGGGTCGAATCATTGACGTGATTACTTCAATCAGTCAAGAACTTCTGAAACAGGCAGCGCAATTTCTACCCGGTGCATTTCGATTTATTTTGAACTCAATGTCCACCATCGGAAAGGCTCAAGTGCTGCCGTTAGCCGTCAAAGCTGGGTTGTCAATTGAGGGTGTCTCTTTACTCATACACAAAGGTGCTGACGTTGATGCAACGGATGATGAGGGATGTACAGCTCTATGCTACAGTGCTCGCAGTGGAAATTTCGGGTTGACGCAGCTTCTGTTGCGAAATGGCGCCTCTCCCGAAGGAGGGGGAAGCGACTCGCTTGATCAATCGCCGAAATCCCAGTGTATCCCTCCATTATTTTTTGCCGCTGAATTTGGTCACACGGACATCTGCGAGCTGTTGTTGCGGGCGGGTGCGGACGTGGAGTCTAGTTGGCACCGTCCTCATAAGGACAGTCACCGACATCAGAGAACCTTAGCGGCACTCCGTGGCTTCAGAAATGCAGGCGAGGTGGCCATACGGGACGATCATATCAGCGTCTTGGAATGCCTCGTCACGCATGGCGCCTTTGTGTCCAGCCGTGGGAGGGGTTATGCACCACTCCATCTTGCAGCAGATTCAGGCTCCTTCTACTCTGTTGGGCTTCTGATTCGGTGCGGAGCAGACATTCACGAATACTGTACCAGCGGGATTACCAGAACCGCGTTGCAAGCGGCGTGTTTCGCACGAAACAAACAATGCGCATCTTTTTTGATCGGCGCCGGTGCCAGGATCAATGATCCTGCCATGGGATTTGAGGGGAAGACGGCACTGCAACATGCGGCATGGCGCGGAGACGAAGGTCTCGTGAAATACTTGTTGGAGTTGGGTGCCAATGTCAATGCACCTTGCGCACCAGATCATGGGGTCTCAGCTTTGCAAGCAGCAGTTTACAGCAGAAATGAAACCCTGGTTGGAATTCTCCTGGCCTGGGGAGCAGACGTGAACGGGAACATTTCTCAGAAGAATGGACAAAGCGCAATAGTGGCTGCGGTTGAAGCAGGTTCAGAGTCTGTGTTCCGGACCTTGGTAAAGGCCGGTGCAGACCTGTCTCCCGTCAAGAGGGACAGCCGCACTTACTGTTGCCCATTCATCAAAGCGGCACAAGAAAATTCCGAAGATTTCGTCCGGCGCTTGCTTGATCTCGACATCGACATCGATGCTCGCCTGGACTCTGGCTACTCCATCGCCGAGGAAGCGATACGGTCATCGGGTGCCGAAAGTTGGAGAGTTGTAGGGACTATTCTCGAGCACAGCCCTGCCATCAGGCTTTCCCGTTGCCAGGGTCGAACACTCTTCATTGACATGTGGGACGGCATTGATCTGAGCTTCCTTCGTATACTTGTCCACAGGGGGTTTGATATCAATAAAGATTTTGTCGGCGATCATTTTGGTAAGCGCAGGCATGGTGGAATGTTCCACCCGAAGCGGATGGCATCGGCGATATACAGATCGTTCTTGCAAAAAGCATGCGCAAAGGGAAATTTGGGGACTGTCGAGTATCTTCTGTCAGCAGGTGCTGATCCCAACTCTCTTCCCTCGGTTTATTTCGATCCAGTGGCTTTCGCAGCGAGCGGGACAGCTCTCCAGTTGGCAACGATGGGAAGACACACCCATCTCATCAAGACACTGCTTCGCCATGGAGCAGACATCAACGCGCCTCCTGCTGAATTCTTTGGACGTACAGCTTTACAAGCCGCCAGTCAAGCTGGAGATCTAAAACTCGTGGAAATGCTGCTCGACCATGGGGCGAATGCCAATACACCAGCCTCCAAATGGGCGGGAGTCACTGCTCTTCAAGGCGCCGCCATCGAGGGTTACGTACGAATTGTGCAGACGCTGCTTGCTGCCGGCGCAGATGTCGGAGCCCCCGGAGCAAGGGAAGATGGTAGAACTGCTGTCAATGGCGCAGCTGAATGGGGACGATTAGACATGGTCAAGCTCTTGCTCGATCATCATCCACTTCAAGACGGCGAATCGCTCTCTGGGATTTGCGAGCAGGCTGCCGAGTATGCCAGGACAGGACCTCACTGGGCTGTTGTGGAGCTTTTAGAAACCTACGAGAGAATGCCGGGGTCTCCTTGATGCTTTGCGTTGGGGGGAGTCCCCTTTGAGTGTCTTTCTCTCATCCACATTTTCCATGGCATTGCCGTCGAAGAGGGCGAACTGGCAAACCCAACAAACAGTACCTGGGACGGTAAAATGCAAAAAGACAAGGATTCTGCAGAGCTTGTGGGAATAAAGGCGACAGGAACAGGGGATTTGAAGAGGAACGAAAACGGCTGATTGGGATGACGACTTGCACGATTTTCATATTTGGATAGTTTTCATAGCCCTCACTCGACTGAGAGGTACCTCTCTCTCTCTCTCTCTCTCTGTCTGTCTCTTTTCTCTTGCTCTCTCACCATCATGTCGTATCTTGAAGAATAATAAGTGATTTCAAAAGTATAAAGTTTGGGGGTATCTGTCCGTCAAATAAATGGCCAATTCGCAAAACAACAAGAAGAAAATCCACACATGCATGACACATGACATGTCCAAACCTCGCCTTCCCTCCCCCCCCCCCCCCCCCCCCTTCTCATCCTCACGTCCTCCTCCGCGGACTCGTTCTCAATAAACAGACAGACCGATGTCCATCCGACGCCAGGATTGCTCTGGCATGCCGCGTGGAGTTTCTGGCATCTGGCATCTGGCATCTGGCATCTGGGAACTGCCTCCTGACTCCTGACTCCTCACATCTGGGAGGGAGCTCCTCATGGTCGTCGCTCGTGGCTCATCAGATCCTCTCAGCCCTCTTCCTCCTCGCAATACTGCGGATATCTATCGATCGATCAATCAATCAATCGAGTTCACTGCTCATCCCCAAGATTCGCTACACGTCATTTCTCGCGTGGTTGTGTCGAGGGTAAGGGAGCCCAAAAAGGAAAGACCTTCATTCATGCAATAGAACGCACATGATGCAATAATGCATAATAGAATGCGGACATAAAAATCGCTTGCGTAGCTTGGAAACCCTGTTGGGCGCAGCACAAAAATGGCAAAGCAAAAGATGGCGTAAATCACACACACACACACACACACTCTCTCTCTCTCTCAAATCTCTTCATCGGACTAGCTTCGTTCCTGAGCTGACGACGACGAATTCCACGTCTCGGCCCATGGATCGCCACCGCTCAATCCCACCGCTGACCAGCCAGGGCTGCAGGTTCTTGCACTGGCTCACGTCAAAGAGTTTGAGTTTCTGGCAGCCCTCGACCACACTCTGAACCCCAAGCCCTGTGACGCGAACACATCCTCGAACTGCGAGCTCGCGAAGGGAGGTCAGGTGAAGGCCGATTGACCGTAAGCTAGGGTCGGAAACAGCGCTGCCGCAAAAGGAGAGGTTCAGGTGTGTCAGATTCGGACAGCCCAAGGCAATCACCTCGGTCGCTGTGTCAGACAGTGCGCAGCAAAAGGACTAAGAGGCGTCAATTAGCCAAACACCTTTACAAGAACATCGGCACTCACCAGGTCAAGCTGCCTCAGACCACTACCCGCTCCATTGACGAGCCATACGATGCTCTGATCACTGAGATATGTGCAGTCGGCCAAACACAGCTTCCTCAGCCGCTCGAACTTGACATTGCCCCAGAATTGAAACCCAGCATCGGTTATGGTTGTACACCGCGTCAAATCCATCGAAACGATCCGATCGTGCGCATGCGTTGCGATGTGGGCCATGGTCCGATCAGTGATGTGTTTGCAGTAGCTTAGAGTGATAGAACTCAGCTCTGGACATCCAATCACCGTCCCGGGGGGAGGTTGCTGCGGAGGAGCGTTGTTACTGAGTTTGGTGTTGAGTACAGGACGGTGGGAGTTGACTTTTGTGCGGTTGCTAGGCGTTGGAGGTTGTGCGGTGACCACCCAACCAACTATTCTCGCCAGCAATGTGTCGCTGACTTTTCGGCAATTACTCAGGTCGACTTCTTTGAGCCCACGAGCTTTGTTCGCCATCTCCAAAATCGCCGGAGCAGTGACATCCCACACGCTCTTCATACGCCAACCCTGCACATTGGCTCCGCATGTGTTGACCAACGCGGAAAAGCCTTCATCAGTGATGTGAAAGCAGTTGCTGATGTCAACGAACCTGGGTCTTTCTGCAACAAACGGACAAATGCGGCTGATTAGTATGTCGTCGGTGATTTTCCGATTATAGCGGGATAGGTCAAGATGATGAAGGAGATTAGGCGCAGTACTAAGAACATTCTGCCAGTGGAGGGACACTCCTTGTAAGCGCATCAAGTCGTGCAGGTCGAGATATTCGAGAATCAGCGGCAGCAGTCTATCAGGTATCCTTCCCCGATTCAGGCCGCGGCTCGACCGTGGTCGGGGTTTGGGTCGACTCCCGGGAGACAAAGGATCCGAGAATGGAAAGCCGCTGCTGCCTTTGTACTCGGATGTAGGGGATGGGGTTCCGGATACTGAGCTTCGGGGGGATGGGTGGGTTGTGGTAGTAGGTGATGATCGAGGCGACCGGCGTCTCTGATCTTTAGATGGCTCGTCGGGCGGCGGTGGAGCAAGAGAACCTCTTCTTGATCTTGATCTGACCTTTTCTAGGCCCTCGCTCAAGAAAGGATCGGGGTCTGAAGGTTCAAGGGTGTTGTTCGGTTCGTCCGTCGCAACAATTGGTGTAGAAGCACTGATCTCTGTGTCTGTGAACGTCACTCGAGGCCCAGTAACGACTTTCCTCTGCCTCATTTCTTTCGAGTCCCGGATTTCAAGATCATGAATATCAGGTGTTGTGTCGGCATCGTTCATGATAACATCATTATCCGATGCCAACTGTAATCGGTGCTTCGCAGTCTCCTCAATCTGCCGCAGCACACTCGTTGGACAGCGGTGCCAAAAATCCGCCAGTACATTTTCCGAGATCATCAAGCATTCAACTTGGGTTACCGATCGCACAGTAGCTGTCCGACGATCTGCGAGCGACAGACTTACGACCTCACCAAAGTATTGTCCTGGCCGGAGCCGAGCTATCACCCGTGGGGTACCCAGCACGCCGTTGGGTTCTCCGGCTTTGTGTGGCTTGGGAGACGACACATTTCTCTCATCCAACACCTCAACCTCCCCACGGACAATGAAATAGACCTCGCGACCTCGAGTGTCTTGTTTGATGATGTCTGTAAACGGTGCAAAGCTTCTGGGTTGGGCACTGAGACCGAGAAAGTGGAGAATATCCGAAGGCAGAGAGGCAAACAACGGCAGTTCCTTCAAGGTCGCGCGGATGTTAACGAGACCATGTCCCAATGCGCTTGCTGTTGACACCTCATTTGTTCCGGGGCTGGGAGATTTGCGCCGCTTGTTCGAGCTGGTGACACTGCCGTCATTGTCTCTCATATATATATCCTCGCCAACTGTCGTTCTGGCTCTCTTAGAGCCTCTTCTTTCGTGATTCGGGACGTCTTCCATGCCGAGCAGCACTTGTCTCTTTTTCTTCTCCAGCTGCGTCAGCCGTTCCAAGGCCTCGTCTCGAATAGCATGTTCCACATCGGGATATTTCGGTAGTATCTTTTTCAGGTCCTCCTTCTTCAGCGCCAGCACCATGCATCTTGTTCGCGCAACCACTGTTGCAGTGCGAGGACGTTCCATAAGGATCCCGATTTCTCCAAAGAAGGCACCGGGTTTTAGTTCAGCAAAGGTGCTTTCGCCGTCCCGAGATGTAACAGCAACAGCGCCCCGGACAAGCCAATACATGGCCTTGGCATCTTCACCTTCGGTGATGATGTAGTCATTTGTGTTGTGCAGCTGGGGTTTGAGGAGGAGACCAATGTCGGCGAGGAAGTCATCGGAGGTGGCTTGGAATAGAGGAAATGAACGAATGCGGTCGATCAAATCTAACGGCATACCCTGTATCTGAGAGGTTGCTAGAGGGGATTGTCTGGCAGGTCTTGACGGATTGATCTTGGAGTCAAAACTGCGGACCAAGGAGACTTCTGCGGAAGGAGGAGAGGCCGTGCGGCCATGGTAGGGTGACAGGGCTCGTCCATGATGTCGTCGCATGTTTGCTGGAGGGGTTGTTGAATCTGAGCGCGTGTCCACGCGAAATGAACTACTGCTCTTGGTGCACTGCCCCTCATCCCATGTTTCTCACACGTACTGTGCGACGCCACCTTTTGAGTACGACTGGGTCAAAATCTGAGGTAGATAAAGACCAGATCTGCAAGATAAACCGCTTTGTTCGGCTCCACCAGGAGCGTCTGCGAATTCGCTGGCTTAGTAACACCAGAATCTGGGATGGCACGAGGGCTTCGGCACCGGCAGGTTGCAAGGAGGGCGCAGGGAAGGTTTTCGCAATCGTACTTGTGACGACTTCGGGTTGTCAAATCTTGGGGAATGCGGTGGGTCGGCAAAGGTGGAATAGAGGGTCGTGGAGTCTCGATATTGATGATAACCTGAGGGCTTTACCGATATCTGAAAAACGCTGCAGATGTTTTGATAAATAGTGCTGGAGGGAAAGTCCGCATCCGACACAGATGATCTCAAATGGAAACAAGCGTGAGAAACGAGCGAAGCAAAGCACGATTCAAGAGACGTGCAGCTGTCGGCCGCAGGTTTCAAGCCAGGGTCCCGTCTATCCATGAAGGTGGTGGGCTGTGGATGGCGGCCCTGGCGGGGAACCGCATATCCATCTTGGAGAAGCACACTAGACGATGTTTCGAGAAAACAGATGGAAGGGTTGGGAGGCGCCGCTTGGGGACTGATTTGGATCAAAGAGATTAGCACGAGCCGGCCCAAAGCCTCCCTGTAGCTAAGCCGGCAAAACGGCCCATCTCGTCCTCTTCTTTGACTTTTGGTGTAATTGCATGATAGAATGCCCCGAAATTTGTTGCCTCGTATCTACTCGTGTGCTCCTCCACATTCCAAGCTTGGTGATACCACCGATGGGAAAACTGAGCCACGAATACGGAGGTGTCCATAATGCATGGGAAAACAAGGTGCAAGGCGGGCAGAAACGCCTTCAGTCGCACATTGACAGTGATGACGGCACCACGGGATAGAACAAGATGCGTCAGCAAGGCCAAAGCGGTTGAGTGACTGCCTCG